AGTTGTTGTTTTGTAAATATTTGTTTCTTTAACATCTCTTTTCATGTCTATTATCAATTTGTTTGCGTTTACATCGGACTCTTGTTGCACAAGTGATGCTTCACATAATACTGATTTGTTTTTTTCTGTATATAGGAACTTTAGCTTCACATATTATTACTCAAAAAATTATTAAATGTTACAGATATTCACTCTAGTTTTCATCCGATATTGTTAGAACTAGTTTTACACATTTTCTTTTAACAATCTAAACTCTCCAAAAATTACAGACATACTGAAAAAAAATCAACTTAGAATTACCAATCTTTAAGCCTGATACTTATTTTGAAATATATCTCAAAATTTACACAATTTTAAATTTCACTCTTTCAGTTCCACAACATTTTTACCGATCCGTATTTATCTTCTAGGGGTGTAGTGTAGGTTAGGGCGGCGCCACGAAAATTATATCGGCATCAAAAGCAAGTTTTTTTTTACTTGCCTAGATGATTAAGCGGTCAAGTGTGCTGTTCCTGTACTGCTAGGAAACAGATTTGTATTTTTCTAAAGTTGATGTGTGAGTAGTAATATATGGGCACCATATGTTACTGCTTGTGTGCTGTATATAATTACTAAGTATGTAACAAGCGTAATAATACATATCCTTTACCATATTACATCATGGATCAGCCCGAAACACAAATGTCAGCCAGAAATCAAACACGAACCTCTAAAACATCAAGGGTGGAACTTGGTTCCCTGCGGGAATAAGCATCCCCTGTCGACCGGTCATACCGGCCGTGCGCTTCTCGTCATGATCGGGAAAAACGAGAAAAAAAATTAGTATGTAAATTCACTTTGTTAATAATGGCTTAATAATTAGGATGAAAAACGTCAGTCAGGATTAAACGTAATGACAGATTGTATTTGCTGACACAGTTCTTATATCGGATCATATAGAACTTGTGAAATGATGACTTTAAACGAGACTATTGAGATTCTTGTTTTATAAACTTGTTTGTCAATAACTTGCCTTGTTTTAGAAATTGTTTGCACGTCTAGCATGCTCTTGCCTATCACATCAACTGGGCGATATAAACCCCATATGCAGGTAATAAGGGTATATTGCTACATAAGTCAGAGAAGTCGACGATAAAAAAAGTTTAAATCAGCACGTTTTTCATAAAGGTTTCGTGTTATGAGACCGTTGTCGTCTTTTTCTTGTTTCTAATTATTCCAAATATGAAACAGATGTGTCAAACTAAGTGGTATCATTTCAAACTCACTGGAATATATCAAGTCGAGAAATGATAAATATAGATATTAATATACTTTTTTAATGTAGTATTTATTTAAAATATGGTAATTTTTGATTTCAGACTACTTTTGGGGACCAAAAACTTATTCACGTTGGAGAACATCCATATCAGGTAAATTGGAACTTGATCTGCCTGTATTATATGTTTCCCAATTGTTTAATTAATTATTTGTTACATTGTCTTTCAGCTTATCAATACCCATGTTTAATAGACATTTTGTTTTCTTCAAAACACAGAGCAACAAAACTTGTCATGAAAACTTGTCTATGATTAAACAAGTGTAGTCAATAAATACACTGGGGTAGATCTGTATGCAATTATCATTTAGCATTTGGTATCCTTTGTGTTACGAAAATAAAATGTTTTAGCTAAACACCTAAATAAAAATTGAAGAAAATAACCCCCCCCCCCCCCAAAAAAAAAAAAAATAAGTGATTTCAAAGAACTAGTAAGTAGTAGTGTTTTTTCTTGATTAGTAACTGTATAAAGTAAATAATCAATTTGGGATCGTTTTTTCATCGTTTATTGCATATGAAGAAAAGGCTGATGATTTAATAATTACTGGTAATTGTAACGATAACAAATGTTTCCCAAAAAGGCTCCACAACCCCTTACTGTACCTTATTTCTTACTATCTTTATTAAAAAGGTTGGGGGAAAACGTAAATTCATATAAGCGGTATATCACTATTATAGTGAATTTCCGCTATACTTTCAGCCTTATTTTTCCTCGATTTCATCAAATAACATGCTTGCTCTTTATAGCGCAAGTCATGGTGGGTACCCTAACAAAAAATACTATAGTTAACTATAGTTTACTATAGTTAACTATAGTGATAACTTTGACACTATGAAAACTTTGATTTACTTTAGTGATAACTTTGAAAACTTTGATTTACTATATTGATAACTATGACACTATAGTGATCACTTCGAAAACTTTGATTTACTATAGTGATAACCTTAACACTTTGATTTACTATAGTTAAGTATAGTTAAATATAGTAAACTATAGTTAACTAAAGTATTTTTGTTAGTGTATACTAGTTACCATGCAGACAAAAATTATCATTTCTTCTTCTAAATTCGACAAACTCTTTCATTGCGGGTTGAAAGTAATTACAAGCATTAATTTGTGTACATATGTGAGAAAAATTGAGATCCAGTTTTTCTTGAATGCTTTCGCAATCACTGGTTGCTATGTTAAAAATGTAACTTCCCTTTAAAAAGTGTGTTCGCATTATTAAACGCATCATCATAAAACTTACTTAAATTCAAACATGTAAAGGTGCCAATTAGTGTCCATTTTTATACCCACCATGTGTTGCGCTATAAACAGCAAGCATGTTATTTGATGAAATCGAGGAAAAATACGGCTGAAAATATAGCGGAATTTCACTATGATATACCGCTATTATAGCGGAATTTACGTTTCCCTGAACCTATTAAATTTGTCAATATTTTTGTATTATAGATCTTCACACAATTTTCAAATTTATTTTAGCTAAAAACAACATTCATTTGGTATTTCACATTTCACTAAAAAATCTCTATAAATAACAGTTTTTCTATGATTAAAATATAACGAAACATTCAAAATTAACGATCAATGCAACACCAATGACGTCCAAACGAAGCTCGTGGCATTTTTGAATTTGTTCTGAATTTGTTCGAGGCGTTTGTCATGCGGAATCATGCGTCTTTAAAAAATAATTTTAAGCATAAATTCCATACTTCATTTAATTTTCTTTTAGTTTACGTGTAATCCATTTTACACATAATGCAGTTAAGAAAATATCTTGGAATTAATTATTCTAAAAGACAATTTCTCACGATCAATAAACCTAAATGCTTGCATAGTTATCGGCTGTGTCCACGTATGGCGTATGACGTTCAGTTCCAGACATTTTAGTCTGTCGTCATTTTAGTTAGTTTTCGAGACACATCTTCCATTTGATAACCAGCCCAGCCATTTTGAACCTCTCTAACTTATAGAGACCACTGCTCGATACATTTGGTTGTGTCGTCCTATCGTTTACATCTCTTTTGACCGTATGAACATAAGTCAAATACTGCTCAACACAGCACTAAATGATAATCTGATCCGCCGCACGTCGCCATTTTTGACTATATCTAAAGAATGTAACATAATATTTTTTGTTATTTGTGGTGACAGAATCTTTTTTACAAATGAATACGCTATGTCATAAATGATATTTCTATGGATGTAAATTTTGTAGTATTACTTTTCTGTATAGCCTAGTAATACAAAAGAACTTCGATAGCAATGCTATTTTTGACGATCAAAAAGTTTACTTGTGCCGACCATCGAAATTTAACACCCTTTCTATACTGCTTCTAAATTCATATGCCTTAAAAACCATATAGTATGTTGTCACAAAAATTGAATGATTTTAATCCGGTAGTTTATGAAATATTTGGTTTTTTGAAATGGAAATTTGTAGTTGGTTTTTTTTCTGGGACAACCCACGTATATCTTGTTATATTATCTTGCAATATATACTTTTTTAAATTTCAAAAGATTTAATTGGAAAAAAAAACGCAAGGTCTAAATGGGATGAAAAAGCGGTAACGCTTCGAATTCATCTGGCAAAGGATTCTGTTTTGAAAGGAATTTTCTGTAAAAGGCTACTTGTGATCATTTATAGTCAGCATACTGTTTTGTTGAAATTTTGTATTCGCGAGAACCGATATGTTAAAAAGCGCAGGAAACTCGTCCGATGTCGGAAAGGTATGGATAGAGACATTTGAAGTCAAACTAAATTTTATAATTTTGACCAAAAACATTTTATGTCTTCCTCTTTCATCAGGACAAACAGAAATTTCACCCTGTATATAATTTCCCCTGTTTATGAAGTAGCACAAAAGACAAAACCACAGATTATATTGCGAAAATTCTTTTACTCAAATTGAGGTAAAAATTTTTTAAATTAAAAAACATGTAAAATACATACATGTAAAATACAAAAAAATATAATATATGATTACATAATGAACTATTACTACAGAGACAAAAACCATGTTAAACACCTTTAAAGGTAACAAATACATAATCACCATAATAAGAAAATACAAAGTAAGCTTGGCCTTGTAAGGGGTCAACAGCCCACCAGGAAAGAGAACTCTTTCCTACCCTTATATATGAAATATAAAACAAAGGAGACCAAAATCACAACCTACAGACTTGATACCCGTATATACAATACATATCCAAATCTGAACATATGCAAGTGAAAAAGAAAGTCAATCTAAATGTACAGAAGCCGGCCCAACAGATATCTACTATAACAAACATAATCACTTGTGACATAATGTTCTTTAAGGATAAGAAATATTTTACATCCAAGTCCAAAAACATCTCTACATTTCAATACAGGTGTACTCTATGAATAAAATGAATAAAATTATAATCAGTGAAAATACACATGCAATACCGGCCCCAGCAGGTATTGCTGACATAAAAGCAAATGCACACGTACCCTTTGATACCTGATGACACATTGACCTGGAAACTGAAAAGGCGGTTCTGCGAAAAACTTCATATGCAAGGTACCGGCCCAAGCAGGTACCTTTGAGAAAAAGTTCTTGCAGAATAATGTTATATTAACCTTTGGGAGATTATTAATGTATAACATAAAGTTTAGAGTCTTTCATAGATGGACCAATGTGAGCTATGAACATTTTATGGCCTTATGTATTTTCGAAATACATTGGACTTCCAACGACCTGCTTCTCTTATTCTAGAATCGGACCAGCCTCTTTCTGCTGCTGCTGTGGCAGCCCCAATGCGGAAGCTGTGGCCTTTGTATTTGGAACTATCCAAGTGACATAAATCGATACATTTATGTAATATCTTATCAAAATATGATCTAGCAACTGGATGTTCAGTGGTAAAGCAGAACAAAGGTCCTGGTAATTTGGTTCTAAGTTGTAAGAACCTTACTAGACTTTCGATGGCTGATTCAGAGGTACCAGTATTCTCATCTGTAAACCTAATGACTTTTGCCCCTTCTTTAATATCATGTTTGAATTTCCTAAAGCTTACTACTATTTGTTTAGCCTCACCCTGAACATATGTCAGACTTGCATCATTCAGTTGCAAAATATGTTCTTGAGGTATATCTCTCACAGCAACCAATTCGCCAATTCTAGCAAAGGTTGAAAAGGCAAAAAGGAACATTGCCTTAAACAGGCACTGTTCATAACATGAATTCGAAATGACTGGCAATACCAGCAACATTTTATTCAATATGGGTACTGTAATGGGCAACCTAGCTTGTGTCAATTGTTTGTGAAAGTCTGTAAGTACCTGTTATAAGTTTATCAACAAGAAAAGTTCGAATATTGTCTGGTAAAGACAACATTTTGTGTACGTAACCCAAAGCTGATAAATAAGTTGAAATAGTAGATGGTGAAAATGACTTCTTAAACAAATATGCAACAAACAATGATATGGTTGAAACCGATAAAGGAAGACTGCTAACTTGTCCCAATACCTCCAATGAAAAAGACTCAAAAGTAGCCCATGCACGTCTGTAAGTATTTTGTGTAGAGGGAGCCAATGCAGCTTGTGTTAAGACCCTAATGTATTCCAGAAGTTCAGTGGCAGCAGCTGGTCTGGCACAGGGCATGGTTCCTTTTGAGCATGTACTGCCAGCTTCAAAAACTGATTGACCTGTAAACGAGAGAGGCAGTCAGCCAAAATATTCTTTTTTCCTGGTATATGTTTGGCCTTGAATAGAATGTTGAGATTTAAGCACTGCAGAACCATGTAACGCACCATTATCATAACCTCACTAACAGGAGATGTTTGCTTATTAATAACTGATACTAAAGCTTCATTATCTGTAAAAAACAAGATGGAATGATTTTTCCACAAGTGACCCCACATATGTATTGCCAGAATAATCGCATAAAGCTCCAGAGTCATAATATTTAATTTTTGCCATTCTGAAGGAAAAGCACCATAAAACCACCTTTCTTTGTATATGCCTGCATACCCCATAGACTGAGCCGCGTCAGTATAGAGTTCTAGGATGTAGCTTGAAAGGAATGTTTCATTCAAGAATATACACTTTCCATTAAAACTGGACAAAAAATGAAGCCACATTTTCATATCTTCCTTAGCCTCTTTTGTCAGCAAAATATGTGTCTGAGAATTAGAGACATGCATCGTCATATTGATCACGCGCCGTAAAAAGGCCCTACCAGGTTGCACAACTGAGCAGGCAAAGTTTAGTATGCCTATTAAGGACTGCATTTCCTTTAACGTACATCTCTTCAAATTTAGAAACCTATTCAGCAAATCCTTACACTTAACCAATTTCTCTTCTGGTAAGCGAGCTTCATGTTTGGGGATATCTAAAGTGATTCCTTCAAAATCCATGACTTGTGCAGGAAGTTCTGTTTTCTCATTTGCAAGAGGGACCCCTATATCCTCACATAAGTTGATAAAAGCTTTAAACTTCGATATCGCCATATTTTTTGAACTCTCTAATATCAAAAACTCATCTAATATATGCACCATCCCAGAAATACCCAACTTATTCCTAGCCATCCATTCTAAAGCCGTATTAAATTCTTCAAATATTTTGCGACAGCCCATGGGTAAACATTTGTCATAGTAGAAGTTCCCATCCCATTGAAAACCCAGTAGTTCAAAATCATTTGGATTGACAGGCAAGATTCTAAATGCAGATCTAATATCTGTTTTACAAAGATATGTATCCTTGCCAAGTATTTTAATATGTTGGATTGCCTCATAAATACCCGCATACTGAACTGCAGCAGATTCATCTGAAATCCCTGCATTGATTGAATTAAGTCTTTTATCAGGGTATGATAAATGGTGTATCAAACGCCAAGATCCTTTTGATTTCTTAGGGACAAGACCCAGGGGAGAAATTCGAACGTTATGGAAGGGTTTTGCTTTAAAAGGTCCCTCAACCCTGTTACATTCTAATTCTTTTTTAATTTTATCTTCAATTACTTTTGGATTTTCTAAGGCAGAATTTAGATTTGGACAAGCAAAGTGTTCCCGGGGGCCCTGATATTCTAGTGAAAAACCATTTCGAAAGACATGTAATAAATATTGTTTCTTTTTTTCATCATACCCTTCTAAATAATACTCTAGCTGATCAGCATTAATGGGTGTGGGCATATTATTTTGAATTTTTGGAAAAGGAGGCTTGTTGTTCTGTTGGCAGAAAGGGTTTCTTATTTCCCCCGTGTTTGTTACGTTTCCCTGCGTTTCCTTTTGCTTGAGCCCTATACTTGTAACACTGGGACATGGGGTGGTTTCCCCTGCAATTGTAGCAGGCATGGAGGTAGCCACACATTCCATTGCAATCATGCCCCCATTAAATTTGTGGCAGGTTTTACGAGGGGCTTGATTTTGAAAGGGCTTCATGTGAGTGGTGTTATTTTTTGATCTGTTGAGGGCTCTAGTATGCAAAATCTGATCTACATAACTCCAGGACAATGTGTCATCATTTTGCATCGCTTGCCGAAAATTCACATCATAGAAAAACCAATCCCCTCCATCCTTATGAATTTGTCGAATGAGATCCATATAAATGGCTAACTCTTGAGAAACTGAAGGATTGGTGGGATTAGCTTTTCTAATGACAGATGAAAAAATTAAAAATGCATTTGTCCAAGTCTCAATTGTTAGAAATTTGCGTTTTTTCCTGAGGTAAGACCAATTTTTTGGTTTTTTACAGCTAGATGCAGATCAAGCTCTGCTGGTTGATGATCAACCAGAACATCTGACATATCAATGAACTCTCTACTTCTAATTTTCTCTTGCAATTTTGTATTTATTTTTGAATACAAAGGCCTACCTAAGGGCTTGTAATTGTACTTGATCTTATCATCGAAAGTAGAGACAATATCTTGAGCTGGAATATGAATAGTGTTCAAACTATTATTCTTTACATGCATACCGCCACTTGACGTGGTTGGTGTTTCTGTTACTGCTGTCGCAGTAGCTCCACTGCCATCATTTGTTGGCTTTGGTATTAGTCCAGCTGTCTTCAAGTTCTCTAAAACCTGAGCCATTACTGCAGCTGTAATTGCTTGTACAGTCTCATTTGTATTTGATTGTTCAATGATATTGGTCTGTGCGGTTTCACTTTCCACTGATATAGCTGATTGTGTTGTTTCCAACTGGCTGGATACATCCATCCTCCGTCGTTTGAATGGCCGCCTAGTGGACATCTATAATGGTAACACTCTCTGTGTCAATAACATTTGATCAGAAGGCTTGAGATTTTTTTTTGAGTGCAGAAAAATGCCTTCATGGCATATGTGTGAATTCATGACAAATTGAAGCTGTCAAATACATGACTACGTATCGTAATAAATTGAAACACAGTCAAATACATGACTGATCCATTTACAATACAGACAATTATTGAACAAAGTAAGGAAATACATGACTGAAATCCTGAAGCAGGGCTTGAATGCAGACAAATACATGTCTGATAAATCTTCAATGTAGACAAATACATGTCTGATAAATTTTCAATGCAGACAAATACATGTCTGATAAATATTCAATGCAGACAAATACATGTCTGATAAATTTTCAATGCAGACAAATATATGTCTGATAAATTTTCAATGCAGACAAATACATGTCTGATAATTTTGATGCAGACAAATACATGTCTGATAAATTTTCAATGCAGACAAATACATGTCTGATTATTTTCATGCAGACAAATACATGTCTGATAAATTCTCAATATAAACAAATACATGTCTGATAAATTTTCAATGTAGACAAATACATTACTGACTTCCAAGCAGTCAAAAACATGATGTATATTGAAGTATAATAATAAACAGTCAAATACATGACAGATAATTAAGGAATAATAACAGTAAAATGCATGACTAGTGCTTTTTTTTTAAAAGTTAAAACCATAATCAATTATATAATTATGATTTTAAACAATTCACAAAGATGAACTCTACAAATGAATATTACCTTGGATGCTGAAACAATACACTGCAGTAGCTAATCCTAAAAACAACAACCTTGTTATTAAATAACTTGTGTATCATATGCATATAACCACCAAAGTCAGAATGCAAACTGACTCAAGAGTCTTGAATTGTGATATGAAAAGGAATTTGACCATCTTCTCCTTTTTTATAAACTCTCAAAAAAAAAAAAAAAAAAATATAGAATACAAAAAAAAAAAAAAAATGAAATGCTCAAAGAGAATATAATTATTAATCATATACTGTGGTTTCATCAATATTCGTTGAGCACCAATTTTCGAGGATTTCGTTGTTGAGCAGATCCACGAAATTAGATGTTCTTTGACTTAACAAATATTTTATTCATTTGTATAGGCAATGCTTTTGTCCACGAAATTACGTATCCTCGAAAACGTCTGTTTTACAAAATACACGAAAATTGATGCCAACGAAAATTGATGAAACCACAGTAAGTCAACTTTAATGTTAAGTTTCTAGTAATCTCATTGATCACTAACCTAATAACATGCAATTCGTTCAAACTATGAAATCTAAAGCATGCATGATAGCCAGTCTGATGCTTCTGTAAAATTTTTTATGTCCAACTGGAGAGAGATGCACACCATCACTATAAAGAACATGCAGAGGACTGTTCATTAAGCGAAGATGTCGCCAAAACATTATCTTCACATTGTTTATATCTTCCGGCAACACTGGCAGCATGGTGTTGATTATCTTTCGTTTTTCCTCATACATTTGTGGTGAAATATTTCTATGCTGAAGTCTCATAAAAAGTTCTCAAACAACACCGACCTGTATACAGTCAAACTTTCCCCAGCATTTCCATTAGCTTACTACTGAAATTTTACATGCCACAGTTTCTGGTTTCGCAGCTAAACTACCAATGTCATTTCCACCGATCTGTAGTATGATCACAACTGGTTTGAAGGATTGCATGCAATTCTTTAGATCCTGCTTCTGAAGCAAACTATCTACACGCCCCCCACTTATTCCATGGCATCGGATTTCACACTGGGCAAGGTTAAAATCAGCCGGTAATAAATCACTTTGTCCTAAAAGTCTTTCCAGTCGTGAAATAAAACTATGTCCTATAATTAAAACTTTCATGCGTTTGTCCATATCTGTAACTCGTGTCTGCGAGCGGCGCGGCGTTGCTCCACTTTGTTGATT